CGGCGGGTGCCTCGCATTTCAGGAACAGACGGCGCGGGTCTACCAGGTCGGGCTCCGGTGGCCTGGTCAGTTTCCTGCGTAGAGCAGCTGCGTCAGGCCGACGTTGCTGGCGCCGCTGCCGAGTTTCGGTCGGAAGGTGACGCGCAGGTGCCATTACCTGTGGCCCCGAGGGTCGGACCTTTCCTTTTGGCGACTCCCCTCACTGGGGGCGTCTCCACTTTAAAAAGCTGCTGAGACGAAGGAAGATAGTTGTTTTAGTGAAAATGGTACTAAAGGCACTGGTGAAGGCTTAGGTTTGGATTAAACCTGGAGCGTAAACACGGTGTCTTTCCTTTGAGCCTCACCGCCTCCCCTGCCCCCACTTCCACCTCCCCCATTGGCTCTGTTTCTGATTTTTAGTATCTTTTCGGTATCTCTTTAGCCTACTTAAGACTCATATGTGGGGCGCTGTGATGTTTGGTTTGGTCAATACAAAAATCAAAGGAGTCCTTAATCTCGATTTTTCAAGTCTTTTTGAAATTTAAGAAAAAGTTAAAATCCACAGAAGCTAGTATGAAACACTTATTCTCTCTTGTTCTTAAAAAGCAGCATCAGTAGCAGCAGCTTTTTGATCTTTTAGAAAGTTATGATGGCATGGACTTGGTTTCATCCACCTGGAAGGCACCCTAGGTTAAAGCAGTGCAGTGCTTGTGGGTTTCTCACCTAAACGATATTGGTTTTTTTCTTTCCTTTTTCCCCCTCCCAGCTGACTAGTATAAACATTTATAAACAATTCAGAAAGTTGTATTGAGACAAAACTGAGTTCTTTATTCAAACAGAAACCTCCAGGCAGTGCCCTGGTGCAGACCCCTCCCCAGATACCCCCTTCCCAGTGGAAAGATGGGCATGACTTTCTTTCCTTCCCGTTTTCTTTTTTAATCCTCTCTTTGAGCTGACATGGAGAGATAAGCAGTGCTCTCTTTTATAAACAGGACAATGCAGGCAGCCTGTGTTTGTACATGTTCTCAAAACAAGCTACACTTTTATGATAAACCCCGAAGTCGTGGAACTTTTACCAAGGAGAAAACAAAATTATTTTTGAGATTTTCCACTGACTTGAAACTGCAAAGTTGGTTCCCATTTACCACCCCCCGCCCCTCCATGTTGTTTTTAGGTTTTTTGAAACAAGTGTGACAGGAAAATAAATCTTCTGGGGCTGGGAGAATAGCCCTTCTGGGCTTTGCTCCTCTGTGGCCGTGGAGTGGCCGTGGAGTGAATCCTCGCTGGCCCTGAGGGTTTGTATACAAAAATGCCTCCACGGGGCCTCCTTGTTTTAGGCAAGTCTTGAAGTCACTAGGGGACCTAGGATAGGGGCTGAAGGGTTTGGAGTGAGAACTGGTCGTGCAAGTGAAAACTATTATTCTTATGAAAAGGGTTAGAAGATGCCCCCCTGACACTTATTTTGGTCTTATTTTTAAGCTGTGGTGTCCGTGGATGGGCGGCCTGTGAGACTCCAGCTCTGTGACACCGCAGGACAGGTCAGTATCACATCGCTGGGCAAACAAATGGCTTTTTAGTTTTTGGGAGGGCGGGGTGTGTAATTAGGTTTACTTATTTATTTTTAGAGGAGGTACTGGGGATTGAACCCAGCACCTTGTGTATGCTAAGCACCTGCTCTACCACTTGAGCTATGCTCCCCCCCTGGAAATGGCCTTTTAAAGGCCTTCAAGTAACTCTCCCATAACTGGGACATGCTAAAGCCCCATGCCTGCTGCCTTTGGCCCCTCTCAGAGGGTGGGGGTGGGGGGGAGAGAGCTCCGCACTAATAAAACAGGGTTTGGCCCACTTTTCTGTGGGCAGGACAGGGGAGGACAGCGTCAAGAGCATTTCTTATCTTATGGGAGTTTCTGATCTTATTTACTTTCTGGTTTTTATTAAAAATTATCAGTGATGCTTTGTAATCATTTCTCAAAGTAAGTTGGTGATAGGATCACTTTATTAAAGGTCAACAAGAAATACATAAGAAATTTACTTAAGGAAAAGTGTGGAGTTTTTGTCAGTAAGTGTTAATGTTTCCCTCCCTATGTGTGGTTGGACTCACGAGGGCCACCCACATCCCTTGAAACAGAGATACAGTGGTTGAAGCTGTTTCAAGCTGGGGGAATAAATGAACTGGGACTTTGTCTTTCTGAATTGTGAATATTTATTCTTGTCTTGAGGGCTGAGTATTTGGGGGAAACAGCTAAGGAGTGATGGAGAGGAAGGATACGGTGTGAGAGAGCTGGGGGACCCCCGTCCCCTGACACCGTGCTCACATCACAAAGTCTAGCTGTGCCCTGTCAGAAGCGTTGTCTCTTGAGTTTGCCAGAGTGACAGTTACTAAGCATGTAGTCTCTCCAGTACTTGCTAGAGTTTGAGAAAGTGCTGGGGGACTCTGTAGGCAGGCAAAAGTGCCCACTTCATTTCTGAGGTGTTGCCACATGACTGTCTATACTTAAGAAGAAGCTGGCTTTCCAGTGTCCCAAGTGCCTCACCCTAAACAGGGCCTCCAAGTCACTCACCTGCTCCAGACAGCAAATTCAGGGTTTTTTTTTTTCTTTCTCCCCAAACCTCTAGGTGACGAGGCCAGGTAGCCCCGATCCCCAACTGATGCCAGTTTGGCGGTGGCCACGGTGGCAGGCGACATAGCCCAGTCTCTTCTGTCCTCTCTTTCCCTTCTGCTGGGCTCCTCAGCTTCCCACCAGGAGCAGAAAAAAACAGTCTGTATTTTATTGCCTGTGGAAAACAAAAATCAAAGAACACAGGCTCTTCTGATATTTAATCTTGCTGAATGCCCTGCTGCTATTTATAACTAAAGCTTAATTGCTGTGTATAAAGTGAGAATGTTTTTCCTACCTAGGGTCAGATTTTCTGATCTTTAAAATGAGGATTTCGTAGCACGTCAGTAAACAGAGGCGTCCCCACTGAAGCAAGAAGTGGTGGCAGCAGAGCCTGAGAATAAGACAGAAGGCAGGAAAACACAAGAAAGCAAAAGGCGCGCTCACCTGGGAGCCTTCAGGGAGGAGCCCGCAGCCGAGTGCACGCGCCTGCCCGCCGCTGGGCTCGCTGCTAGGTGCCGGCTCTGGCAGACACGGCTTCCCGGGCTGCGGTTCCGGGCTCTGTCCACATGGTGCCTGGCACCTAGTGGGGCTGAATCGCAGTTTGTAGAATGGATCCATAAACGAATAGAGTGCTGGGTCCTGGCAGATGCAAGCTGAAATCACGGGCCTGCCCCTTAACAGACTCACAGTCTGTGGGGAGACAAACCAGTCAGTAGAATTCGTGAAGGAACCTGGTGATGTTACAGAAGGAGGAAGGCGAGGTCGGCTCGAGGTGCAGGATGGGGGGACCTGGGAGGGAAACCTCTGGGCAGTTTTAAAAGAGAAAAGGAGGACTTCTCCCAGGAAGACTTCGTAGAAGTGATCCCAAGTTGTCCAGGAAGAGTCTGACTTTTCCTTAGTGTGGTCTGCTTCAAAGTCAAGGAATCGTGAGAATCATTTTAGAAATATTTTCATGAAAAAAGTTTATAATTAGGGAAGTAGAAAGGTTTGGGTGCAAGTTGGGAAACTTTAGTCTATTTGGAAATTATTCTTGTGTTCTCCCAGCAGTGTTTTCATTGAGATTCACTGTATTTTGTGTGTGTGTGTGTGTGTGTGTGTAGGGGGGGAAGGTAACTAGGTCTATTTATTTATTTTTGGTGGAGGGACTGGGGATTGAACCCAGGACCTTGTAAATGCTAAGCAGGCACCCTACCACTGAGCTGTACCCTCCTCCTCAGACTCACCTTATTACTTAACTGTTGTCCTGGTTAGTAAAGTAGGCCTTTTTGTATAATTAGTGAGGCCATCATCTACAGATCTGTAGAAAACCAACTTCAAGAACTGTTTATAAAAGATACACAACTGGTAAGATGAAGTCAGTTGTTTTTTTTTTTTTTTCCCCTTGCTCCCCAAGTATCAGTCAGTGTTTGTTTTGACCATTAATTAGCAGAGCTGGTCAAGGTGGTGGTCTTTTTCTGCCCTCACTACTCCAGAGCTGATAAACTGCCTTGTAAGAGACCAGATCTGACACTTGCCATGTTTCCTTGGCCTTGTCCCAGCCCGTGGAACTCCTCCTCCAGGCAGTCTTCACGGTAGCCCCGAGGGGTTAAAGTGACTCTCGTGACCTCCAGGCCAAACTCCCTGGAGAATGGGAGCGCAGGTAGCCGTAGCCTGGGGGCCAAACGCAAGTTTCACATGGAAGCTGAGGGCAAGAATTAGAGCTGCCCTGGCTGGGAAATAACTAGAGGTGGCTTCTCATGCCTTTGAGTTTTCTTGTTAGGGGCTAAGTGAGTATCCAGGTTGTTAAAAGGAGTTTTTAACCTTGGACTTACAGTCTTACTCAAGTGAAAATCGATCAGACTGAGGACTTAAAGAAACATCCCTTTGCTGAGGAGAAAGCAGTACCCCTGAAACAGGAGCTCGCTGTGGCATTGCCAGTTGCGGCTGGGAGTTCTTCATGAGGCACTGGAGAAAAATCTTTATACTAAAAAAATACATGTATATACACACACATATCAGGCTGCAGCTTGACCAAGACGGCTCTCCAGTTGCTTGTCAGTCCCGTCCTGCCCTGAACTGAATCCCTACAATGCCTTGGAAATTGCCTGCAAATCTCTGGGCCTCAGAACACGTTTCCTTGAGGGTACATTCCAGCTGGCTTCGTCACGTGTGTGTGTGTGTTGCATTTATTTCAGCAAATATCTAAGGTTTCTGGTCAGGCGATGAGCAGGAGGGTTTAATTTCTGCTTTGCTTCCCGAGTCCCTTAGCCAGAACCCCAAGAGGAGAGGTCTGTGGAGCCAGATTTCCAAAGCCCTGTCACCAGGCCTGGCCCTGGGCTCGCCTTTCTTTTGATTGGTAATGCAACCCCAGATTCCAGGGCACGGCCAAGCGGGAGTGCCTTCCAGCAACGGGGTGCAGCGCCCGGGGGAGCTGACTTTACACTGGCCTCAGTTTTGGGCTTCTTCCTTTAAGGCCTCTGAGAACAGAGGGAACGTTTCATTAAAAGATCTTCAGGGCTGGGCCGTGGTCCACCTGGTTGAGTTTCTCTGTTTATTCTTTCAGCACAAAGTTGGCACTGAGAAACTCAAGTCTTTTTTTTTTTCAACTTTGGCTTATAGAAGACAGAAAAGTGGCAGTGACATTCTGAGACGCCTTATTCATTCCTGAGCGTTTCAGCTGGTCAACTTCAATATTGTTACTTGGTTGTTGCCCCACAGCTGACATATGGAGCCTCACATGAAGAAAGTACACTCAAATAAAAAGATCCAGGTTCCCTTTATACCTAGAAAAAGGCCACAGATGCAGCATGATGTGCATGTAAATAGTAATTTGTAAATAATGAGCCTGCCAATTGAGAAAGAAAAACCGGGCTGATATTTACCTTTGTCTTGCCACTGGGAAATGATCCATCACATTACATCTGAGGATGGTTGGCACCCACAGATAGAAGTTTTAAATAGGAATGAGATGATGTAAATATGTTCCTACGAGATGGCTGAGTGGAAGCTTTCAATTAGCTAAAGATGGTGCTTCTTCAGGGAACTACAGGGTGTTTGATATGGAGAAATGCTGATTTGGAGACAGATGAGCCTACAAGGGCTGAGACCATGTTCCCAGCCATATCCCCTTGGCCTGGACAGTGCCTGGTGCTCTGCGTGCATCTCTGTTAAGTGAATGACCACAGCACAACATTCAGCGGCGCGATGGCTGGTTTGTTTAACAGCCCCTGACTTACGCCATCCAGTTCTCTGTAACTCAGAAGTAGAGTGGGTAGGCCCTTTGGTCCTTTATCTTTCCAAAGCATCATGCATGGAGGCCTCTGGGATTACTGGAGGGAAAAGGGAAGGGCAAGTAAGAGAAAAGGCAGGAGGGAGAAAAAGGAGATAAAGCAGGAAGAAAAGATGTATGTCCAGCAAGCACGAGAATGTGTGAACCAGTGTTGGAAGTGACACTGAGAGACGCATGTTCTCAGGGTTCCTTGTGGGAGTGACCTACCCCAGGTCCTCAACACCAGTCCTGCATCTGATTCACAGGACCCTCTGCGCCGCGTGTGCCCTGAGCGTGCGTTGGGTGTGCACAACACAGATGGGGTGGCACAAGCATTACTCACAGCTGTCGTGAGGATGGGCAGGGCTGGGTTCTATGGAGAGGAGCTGTGTTAGTAAGCTGGGGTTCGCTGGGGTCAGGTGGAGCCCTGAGGACCCATAAGGATACTGCCTACATTTTAAAAGCACAGCTAAGTACCAGAGTTGAAAGAGTAAGTCTGGGTTCAGCCTCTGGGCTGAAGGCTAGGGAGAGTAAATTTTAATGTTTGAATCAGTCTATTTTCAGTACTTTTTCTATGGTAAATTGTGAGTAGGTCATGAGCATGGAGGAAAGCATTGAGCACATTTGGCAGATTTTGTGGGCCTGGGAGCGTGGCCCCGCTTGGCAGCAGAGTCCTTTCTAAGACACGGGCTCTTAGACTTCCAGAACTAGCAGGCCTTCTACTACCTGCCAGACCTTTTGCAGAAAAATGTTACAATGGTCTTTTTTGCTGATGAGAATGGATTTCCAAGGTAACCTTTGGATGCTTGGACTGGTTGCAGGATGAGTTTGACAAGCTCCGGCCTCTGTGCTACACGAACGCCGACATCTTCCTCCTGTGCTTCAGCGTCGTCAGCCCCTCCTCCTTCCAGAACGTCTGCGAGAAGTGGGTGCCAGAGATTCGGTGCCACTGTCCCAGGGCCCCCATCATCCTAGTTGGGACGCAGTCGGACCTCAGAGAAGATGTCAAAGTCCTCATTGAGCTGGACAAGTGCAAAGAGAAGCCGGTGCCGGAGGAGGCGGCGAAGCTGTGTGCCGAGGAGATCAAAGCCGCCTCCTACGTCGAGTGTTCGGCCTTGACTCAGAAAAACCTCAAAGAGGTCTTCGACGCGGCCATCGTGGCCGGCATTCAGTACTCGGACACGCAGCAGCAGCCGAAGAAGTCCAAAAGCCGGACTCCGGACAAAATGAAGAACCTGTCCAAGTCGTGGTGGAAGAAGTACTGCTGTTTCGTGTGATGCCGGCGGGCGGCCCCGACGGGCTGTTTTCCGATGGAGTCACACGAGGGGCTGTATTAGCTGAAAGGACTCCTTTTACCGTGTAGAAGCCGCGCGGAGGACGCGTGCACAGGTGCGCCGCGGGAGGGGCTCCGACTCACCCGACCCTCCCTTGCCTTTGATTTCCTTCTTGCTTGTTTGAGTTTAGGGATGAGATACTTACGCAAGCTGCATTGAAGTAAGTTAAGCATTTTTCAGGACTCTGGCAATTTAGAACTCATTAGACCTTTGGATTAATTTATATCTAATAAGAGAAAGACACCTCAAATCGGGGTGTCAAGAGCGAAATTTTGCTACGTGATGATGTGCAGAACAAAGGGGACGTGGTGTGGGTGCTGTCCCCTGCCTGAGGGCTGCTCAGTGCACTGTGCTTATGCACCAGGCCAGCTATGGTAGGAATAACTCTTAGCTTTGAAACCTCATACTTTTCCCCCGCTTTTTTTCTAAGGAGCAAAAAAAATCTGAGAAAAAAATGAGAGACCTCTGCCTATCAAACCTCACTTTTGTTATAATCTTATACCCGGTTGCTTAAGATTTAGAAACCACCACCACCAACAAAAACCCACATCCCACTAACTCGGTGGCACTGTGTAGACCCAAAAGGAAAAATTGTTGATTAGGATTTGTTCACCCTGAGACCAGTTGTGCTGATACCATATAAGCAGAGTGCCATGCGGAGTGTAGCAAGTGACAGAAGCTCTGTTTTCTTTAGGGAGTGATTCCCGTGAACCAAACTGTGTGCACCTCTGGTGATCGGAGCCCTCGGGAGCACCAGTCTGGAGGGTTTTTAAACTTCTGTACTTCAGTTGTCCCGTCTGCAGGGAGGCGAACTCTTTTGAAAGGCCTGTAGCAAGCAGATACTTGTGGGTCACAAAATCTACTTTTTTTTTTAAGTTAGCCAAAATGTACTTTGTATACACACACAAACACAGATGTATATGTTATACATATATGGCTGTGTTTGCTGCTGACTCAGACTTTTAAACAGTTAATGGGAAAAGCATGGCCATGAACACAGATGTGAGGGAAGCTCGGCTGCCTCTTTTTATGAACACTTTTTCGAATAGACCTCTTTTTGATTATACCTTACCTAGGATTTTAAGTCTGTCTCAACGTGTTTTTGAGACCATGTTAAAGCAAAACAAGAACAGCTCTCAGAACCTGGTTTAAAATGAATGTCTCTTGAAACCTGTTGAAATGACCAGTTAAATCCGCAGTTGCCTTTCAGGGAAGTGGCGGCAGAGGCCAGCGCTGTGTCCGAAGGGTCACGGGGTCTGCTGTGCGGGGGGACCATCGCTCCCCTGCTCAGCTGTTCCCTTACTGTGGAACAGTCTGAAAACCATGTATTTGCGAGACATTTGTGTTCCTCCAGGTGGCAGTTTTTAGGGCTTAATGTTCTAGAGGGAAAAAGTGCCATATCAGGAGAAGAGTTTTATCCTGTGATGGGTGAACTTCTGAGATGCCAGAAGGTGCCCTGAGGGATTGGATTGTAATGTCAGGCTTGCAGTGGGTGAGGCAGACCTACCAAAATCGGTCAGTAACTCGGGAAGTCTCCGTAGAGCCAGCTGACAGAGTTTATCTTTCTGTGGGTCTTGTGTGGCCCATACGTATATATACACACAATCCAATTTGTGTTTCTTTGTAGAAAAAAGTAAATGATCGGGTCATACTTTAGGGGCTTCTTTTATTTCTGTTAGTCAATAAAATTAACTAATTTCCTTGTTTGAGAACTAAAATGCATACTCTTTACTATTTATTTTTCAATACATTGAAATTGAGATCAGTCATAGTTTCCTGAAGTTTAGTTACAACCTGAGTGAATAAAATGACTTCATTTGTGGAAGTGCCCCAAACAGAATGAATGAATGAAATGGATTCGAAACTTGGTGCCTGGCTCACCGACCTGGGGGCTTCCCAGCCTGGGCTCTGCCTGCCCCAGTGTGGACGGTAGGGGTGAGGGGGAGTTATCAGACTGGTAAGTCATTTCAAACAGTATTTTTATATGAAACCAAATGTCATGAAGTACAATGCAAATTAACTTTTAAGATAGAACACAAAACTTGAAAGAAAATTTATGCATGTGACAGTGTCTGGGGGCCACTCCTGGTCCCACTGAGAGCGTCCCTTGGCGCTCTCTGCCTTTAGGGCCACTGGTGGACAGTGGTCGGTGAAGAATGCCTGTGAGCTTTACTCAAGTGTTTTATTTTTAACCCATCTTGATACAGCCTGTACCATTAACACAAAAAACCTAGAAGGTTGACGTTTAAATGCAACAGTTTTTAATGTTGCCAAATTTATGGAATTGTAAAGGTACGATTTGAGGTTTCCCTCCATTTTTCTTGGTGAAATTAGAGATTTGGGCAGAAGAGTTTTGAAAAGTATGTGTTTGAGTTAAATATAAATTGGATCGACTTCAAAGCTCAGACGTTGTTAAATTTGCAGCTTGGTATCGCAGAGATTTTACAAGAGTTGTGCTGTAGGGAGTACCACTTTAGCATGACTCCTGCAGTGTAAGCCACTCACACAGTTTACACAGGCAGTATGCTGTAAGACTGTTAACCTCTTCTTCCCGTGTCTGTGGAAATGAGCCTTTTGTAATGTCGTTCTCGGTGCTTGACAGACTTAAGAGAAACCACCCAGCTCTTACACAAGCCTAAACAAGGGAGGGTCTCCTCCCCGGACCGTCTCTACCTGGTGCCTTACCAAGTTGTACTTTTCTGTTTTCAGGAGTAAATGATGTTGAGCCGAATGCTGTCCTTGAAAATGCTATAAATGAGGTGTTATGAAATAAATTCTGATATAGCTGCACTTGCCTTTTCTACCGAAGAATTTCTTTGGGAGCGAACAGAAGTTCAGCCACACGGAGAGGCAGACCCCCAGAAGTGCCCTGGGAACGCGTCCCCGGCCAGCATTAAACACCTGTTCAGTGTGGGGTTTTGAGAATTCTGGGGTTCCGTCTGACACAAGCACCCTCTGACTCTGCAGCTGTAAGGGGCCATGTGCTGGGGTCCCTGGGTGTTGGGAGAAGCCCTGCTCTTGGAGCTGGAAGCCCAGGCTCAGAGAAGCACTGAGCGTGTGATGAGACTGGGAGGTCACTAGATGAGCCCTGGTTCCCTCACACCTAGGCAGCACTGCCTTTCTCACCAGGCTGTTGGAGTCCTGAATGCGCGCACAAGTGCGCGTGCAGGGCAGACATCCAAGATGTGTCGTGGCCGTGGGAGGCGCCACGGGTCCCACCAGCTTTACAGTGAAGACCAGCAGGGCTCAGGGCTCCTTGCCTCCACGGGGTGGACAGCACGCTTGGTCACTGAGTGAAGGATGGGCCTGCCTACTGTGTTCCCCATGGTGCCTCCAATGCCAGGCTACAACTTTTTGTATCCACTGAACAGTCAACCACAATGGACTGGAAAACTGGGCAGAGAACAACTAAAACTACTGGCCAGCTGCCTGTGTCCTGGAGTGCAGGCTCACTTCCTGGCCGTCACGGGCCTCCACAGGCAGCCTGACCCTAGCCCAAAGGCACCCGGAAGTTTCTCCTCACCCAGCCCTTGTCTGGGACAGACCACCCAGTCCCTTTAGAGGAGTTTAGGGCATCTTCACAGAGATGTTCACATGACCTGAAGGGAGGTGAGGGGATGAGAAGTACCTGGGAGAAAATTTTCTAAAAAAAATAGCAGGTGCAAAGGTCCTGAGGCAGAGAAGTGTCTGGCATGTCCTGCAGGCCTGTGTCAACAGACAGAAGGAGTACAGGGAGGGGAGCAGGAGATGATTTTGGGGAGGTGATGATGTCAGGGAGGGGATGGGGCCTGGGAAGCCATGACATCAGGTAGAAGCGACAGGAAGAAAGAGGAGGGGAGGGCGTGGCTCCAGAGTCAGGCTGTTTGAATCCTGGCTCTGCTGCTTACTGGTTGTGACTCTTTAAGCAACTTAATCTCTTAACCTTTCTTTATCTAAACTTTTGAAAACTGTGCAGGGGATAAACATAGCACCTGCCCTAGTGGGCCATTGGGTTTATGAGTATAAAGCGCTGGTGCACCGGAAGCCCCAGTAAACGTCCACTCTGACCAGTCTTTCTGGTAATGTCCTTTCAGGCAGGATGTCCAGTTGATCAACCTACGATTGGCCCCTAATGCGTCTTCATCTCTATTAAATTTCATGAGGTATTAAATTTCATGAGGCATATTATGCTTTTTATGCATCATAGCATATTCATTTTTCAATTTCCATTCATTTTTGTTTTTTGCTGGGGGTTGGGGAGGCCGTTAGATTTATTTATTTACTTTTGAAGTGGTGATACTGGGGATTGAACCCAGGATCTCATGCATGCTAAGCACACGTTCTACCACTGAGCCCCATACCCTCTGCCCTCTGCTCATTTTTATAGAAGAAGAGAGAAATACTTATATTATTCCAGGTGTGGCCCGGGCTGACTCTGGAACATAGATGCTGCTGCTGAGTGGGTGGGGGGACCCGTGTGCTGGCTCTTCACCCACAGGTGGGAGTTGGGAAGGCCGAGCTTAGGGTATGCAGGTGGGTTGGGGAGTCAGGGCGAGGCAGCAGAACGTTGTGAGGAGCTCAGGATCTCCTGCGTTCCCGCCCTTGGCTAGGGTGTCCCTCAACTCCTTTCACACAGGAAGGTCTTCCCTAGTCTAGCGCACTCTTGGCCATTTTTAGAGCCACTGTTTATCAGCCTGAGTCACCAACTGCAATTTCCCCTGTCACTCCATGCCGAGGACAACCAAGTCCTGAAGAGACAGAGTCTGCGTGTGCAAGAGCCGTGCGGATGGGAACCCAGTATCCATCCCTAAAAGAAGATGCATTCCTAGGCAGAATCTCTGTTTAGTCCCTCCTGAATGTCCCACAGGTCCTTCAAATTTAACTCACTGTATTAATTTCCTGTTGCTGCAGTAACAAATTACTGTAAACTCAGTGGCTTAAAACACTGCAAATTTCTTACCTACAGTTCTGGAGGTGAGAAATCAGAGATGGGTCTCCCTAGGCTAAAATCAGGATGTGGACAGGGCTGAGTCCCTCTCTGGAGGCGCTGGGGGAATCCATTCTGCCTCTTCCAGCTCTAGGGCTCGCCCGCATTCCTTGGCGGGGAACTTCCCCCTGCAAAGCAGCGCCGGTCAGTCAGGCCTTTCTTACATGGAATCCCGCTGATGCTGACTCTTTTATTTCCTCTTCCACATCTAAGGACCCTTATTTTTCTGTTGGACCCACCCAGGAGTCCAGGGTAATCTCATCTCAAGGTCAGGGGATGAACAATCTTCATTCTATCTGCAACCTTCATCCCCCTTGGCTGTGTAACCCACATAGTCACAGGATCTGAGGCTTAGGACGTGGACATCTTTGTGGGCCTTCCTGCTGACCACACACATCTCCCAGAGGCCAGCTCACTGGTCCCCAGCACCCCCTCTCCCGTGGTTTTAGGGGACACTCAGAACACACCACCGCAGCTGTCCACTTGTCCAAACCAGAAATCTGTCATCAACCCAGACTCCCTTTCCTGCTCATTTGAATGCGATTGGTCACCAGGTCCTGTCTGTCGGGCATCGTCCTCATTGTCCTCCCCGTTACACCACCAGGGTGTGAATTCAGGCACCCCGCCCTCTCAGGCCCTCCTCTCAGTCTCCTTCCCCAGTCTCGCCCTTCTGGCCTCTCTCCATGGCACTCTCT